ATAAGGCACTTTTGCCTATGGGTGCGGACTTATTCCATTTGCGTTGTAGTCCGCATATTCTTAATCTAATTGTGCAAGATGGGTTGTTAGAGATGGGAAACCTTATTTATAAGGTTAGAGAGAGTGTGAAATATGTGAATAGAACTCCTTATTCGGAACAAGAGTTTGATAATGCCATAAGTCAAGTTAAATTGAAAGGAAGGAAAAAAACTACTTTGGATTGTCCCACTAGGTGGAATTCCACTTTTGATATGCTTGAGAGTGCAATGGGGATGAGAGATGCATTTTGGCACAAATAGATAGGAATTACAAACACAATCCATTAGATGAGGTGTGGGAAGTTGCAAAAATATTGTGTGGTTGTTTGAGGATTTTTTATGAAGCAACTACATATTTTTCTGGCACAAATTTTCCAACTTCAAAAGTTTTTTTCCAGATATTTGTGACATACAACTCAACTTGAATAGGTGCGAAAAAAGTCAATATCCATTTCTTCGTAGTATGGCATGCCCGATGAAATCCAAGTTTGCTAAATATTAGGAAGAATGTAGCTTAGTTTTAGCTATTTTCGTTGTTCTTGATCCAAGATTTAAGTTAAATTTAATTGAGTATTACTATGCCAGAATTTATGGTCAGGATGCTAAAAAATTTGTTGAGAGAGTTCGCAATACTCTTGGAGATCTTTTTAGTGAATATGGGAATGAATCATCTCAAACAATGTCTTATGATTCTCATTTGGGAAAAAACAACTCTTGTAGTTCTTTAAATCTTGATGGTTCAAGTGAAAAATTAAATGGCTTCGATGAATGGTATGCACAAGCTCGCGTTTCCAACATTCTTGCATACCAAAAATCAGAATTGGAGAATTTTAGCATTCTACGTTGGTGAAAGGTTAATAGTGTTAAACTTCCTACTCTAGCAAAGATAGCTCATGATGTCTTGGCTGTTCCAACTACTACAGTTGCATCAGAGGCAACTTTTAGTGTTGGTGGTCAAGTGATTCATGAGGCACAAAAATTGAGGTTTTCATGTTTTTTCTATTGTCTGATAACAATTCTACACATTCCACAAGTGAGGATAACAAGAAATGAAGTTCCAGATTTTATTTTGGTCACTATCCATAGATGAGAAGATTGAGGAGATGGAGTGTGCATGGTTTTTTGGGAGTTAGTAGAATTGTTTTTGTTTCCTTTTCATGTAACTCATTGATATTTTTGTTAGATGTGAGCATTTTGTACATGTGCCCATTTTTTATTTTTAAGTTATTGTGGGCAATTGGTGATCCTGTACAGTAGGGGAAATCTTTATGTAAACTAGATATTTTTTTGTTCACTATTATCTTGTTGTTCAAGTGCTCTTTTTTTGGGCTTTTGAGATACTGCATGTGGATAATCAAGAGAAGTATTATGTTGACTTGTTCATGATCATAGACAAATACTTGCCAAATATTTTATTGAGATATTTGATTTAGTGTAGGACTCTTAGATGTGCATATTCATCCTCGGTCCATTTATATGGACTAGTAATACACCACGTGCGTTACACGTGAATAATTTTCATGTACAAAATATTAATAAAAAGTTTTAGGTATATGTGTACCTACATTAAATATCATTTCAAGTTTATCAAAATTATATTTTTATTGCTCGTATTATATTATAGAATTTGAAAATATTGTTTGTTCCCGACGATTCATTGTTTTAAGCATAAAAAAAATAAAAATAAGTTATTTGAAATTCATTTGATTATGTTTCNAACGATTCATTGTTTTAAGCATTAAAAAAATAAAAATAAGTTATTTGAAATTCATTTGATTATGTTTCAACTTATAATTCATTGAATAAAATAAAAATAATTTTTAATATTCTAATCAATGCTTACTATAATTAGTTAGATTAATAGAGATAAAATATAGGACTAATAACACTTTGGTTCTCTAAAGTATGCATTTTTTGTCAGTTTAGTCCTTAATATATAAATTTTGTCAATTTGGTCTCTAAAATATTTAATTCTTGTTTAAATGCTCCCTAACCAGATGANCAACTTATAATTCATTGAATAAAATAAAAATAATTTTTAATATTCTAATCAATGCTTACTATAATTAGTTAGATTAATAGAGATAAAATATAGGACTAATAACACTTTGGTTCTCTAAAGTATGCACTTTTTGTCAGCTTAGTCCTTAATATATAAATTTTGTCAATTTGGTCTCTAAAATATTTAATTCTTGTTTAAATGCTCCCTAACCAGATGGTCCATTAAGTTTTTTGACGAAAATAACCACATGTTATTCCGTCAAATAGTATCACATGATCACTTCTATAAAAAACTTAACAGAATGTCTGTATATGGATTNTTAAATGCTCCCTAACCAGATGATCCATTAAGTTTTTTGACGAAAATAACCACATGTTATTCCGTCAAATAGTATCACATGATCACTTCTATAAAAAACTTAACAGAATGTGTGTATATGGATTTAAACATTAACTAAATATTTTAAGAACCAAATTAACAAAATTGATACAATGAAGACCAAACTGACAAACTATGCAAATTTTAGGGATTAAAAGTGCTATTCACCTTAAAATATAATATACTACTCTATAATATNCCACATGTTATTCCGTCAAATAGTATCACATGATCACTTCTATAAAAAACTTAACAGAATGTCTGTATATGGATTTAAACATTAACTAAATATTTTAAGAACCAAATTAACAAAATTGATACAATGAAGATCAAACTGACAAACTATGCATATTTTAGGGATTAAAAGTGCTATTCACCTTAAAATATAATATACTACTCTATAATATATATATTTTAAAATAATATTAAAATTCTAAAATTTAAGTTTTACTTAAAAATATAATATAATTTTTTTACACAAATTCTTAATAAAATATGAAAAATTTACTATGATTGAAGAATTATGCTAATTTAATAAAAATTATTTAAAAAAAACTACGTAAAAGATTATTTTTTATCTTAAAAATTAAATTGCTGAAATTTTGGATGAAAGAAATACACATGTATAAGGATAATGTTATCTTTATATTTAAAATGAGTAATATTAAATTGATAAATTTTTTTTAAAAAAAATTAAATATTTTTTTAAAAATTATAGTGATGCATATATGTTTTAAAGGTAACATAGTCAATTAACAAGTTTTATAGATATTGATATTTATACATAGTAAACAAAGAATTAAAAGAGATGTTAGGAGTAATTTGGAGATTTAAACATATACGTATATGATGACAATTTAGATATTCAAATATTGAAAGAAAGTATGGTATTTAAAATTTTTTATAAGAGTAAAATAGTGAATCAAAAAATTTTCATACTAAAACAAAAGTTTCATTCTTTATTAGTAGTATAGATGGAAAAAAATACATATATATAGTCATAATGTTATCTATATATTTGAAAAAAGTATGATTTACTGATGAAGTTTTTANAATTTTCATGCTAAGACAAAAGTTTCATTCTTTATTAGTGGTATAGATGGAAATAAATGCAGGTATATAGTCATAATTTTATCTATATATTTGAAAAAATTATGATTTATTGATGTAGTTTTTGAACACTTTATTGAAAACTATAATGATGCATATATATTTTTTAAGAGTAAGGTAGTCAATTAATTTTTTACATAGATAATAGATAAGTAAAAGAAATATTATAGGGTAAATTGGAGATTTCAATACATAAGGATGTGATTGTAATATAGATATTTAACTATGGAAAGATAATATGATAATTAAAATTTTTTATAAGGGTAAAATAGAGAATCAAAAGTTTTTTACTTAAGGTACTTTTATTAATAGTATAGATATGCATGTGTGTNCAAAAGTTTTTCACTTAAGGTACTTTTATTAGTAGTATAGAATAAGGTGTAGTAGTTCAGTTAATAGTGCTAATTATCGGATCAGATCGGATTATTATATCGGATATTTGAATGTTAATGGATTCGGATATGGATTAATTTTTTACAATCCGTAGGGTAAACGGATCGGATCGGATCAAGTAAATTGTAATCAGATTGAATTCGGATGTATCATAATCTGGTCCATATCCAATCCATTGACAGGCCTAAGCTAGGATACGCCTAGATATGTTAGTAAAATACTAGGGATATGAAGGATTAAAAAATAAAACACATCCAAACTAAAATAATTTGTTACTAGTATTTTACATTCAAGATTATATGTAATTCTAATGCTAAAGACATGTCACCCTTGGATAATCATCAACTTTTACTTAACATTTAATTGTAATAGACTTCATTGACTTTACCATAAGCCATAAAAACTCATTATTCAAGTCAATCAAATTGTACAAAATTGAAAAATCTTGTGCTATATGTGACGCACGTCCGAATGAAAATCTTGGAATGAGCAATCCCCATTTGTATGATTCACGATTTCTAGACAACCTGCCTCACTAAGTATAAAGCAAATGTGTTCACCGTGACGATACCAATATTCGAGTGTATTCAACAAGTATCTAACAATGATAAATATTTTATTGATTACTCAATATGTGTGGAAAATATCCGATACATATCACTCGTATCCGATGAGTATCGATATCCGATGCGTATCGAATACAGATACGTCACCATGATGGAAATATCCGTGTTTCATAGTTCTAGCATAAGAATTACATAACGGAGATGCAGCCCTAAAGCAGAAGCAAGGTCCATCCATAAAGGCGAATATAACATGCAAGACCAGGAGAACAACATCAGAATACTGTGCTGAAAAATTCATAAATTAGCACAAGAAGTGATCCAGATGCAATATACTTATCAGTTCCCAACAGTGGTTCGTTTATTCTCTAACATCAACGATATCAAAGGTGTCAACAATTGGGAAAATTAAGACTAACCCCTTAAAAGTTTTCACCAAGGAGAAATTATATTGAATGTCATTCAACCAAGATTGCAACACGATATACAAAAAAATCATAGAAATATACACAAATTCTAAATTGCATCAAGAAGAAGTACATACAACGCATCGCTGGTGAAATCACCAAAACAATGGCAGTGCTTAATCAACCTTCACAGTAAAACATGGAGCACATGAAGCACCAAAAGATTACCGGTATTTTCCCAGTCATGATTGTGTCTTCGAATAACTTCCACTGGATATCATCTAACACCCTCAAGAAAGCCCTCCAACTCTCTCCGCCCAAATGGCCGTCCAAGCGAAGTAGCATCCTTGTACCTCGCAGCAAAGTAATATATCAGCCAAGCCACCATAAAATAAACCTCCATCACAGATTGGAAAGCAAAGGCAAACAATTTCCCAAAAAATCTGGTCAGTATCCATCTCATAAATGACCCACAAATAATCCCGTCCATACATTTGATGCCAATAGCAGGGTTTAGCATTGTCGACAACAAATGACACCCTTCCTTCACAACCTCCCTCCCACTCCTCCTTGAGTCCACAATGGCAACCCATGCATCCACAGCAAAAATAAACGCCACCACCGTGTCCAAGAAGAACCATGACAACAAGAACCCCACACTCTCCCTCTCATGTCCTTTTACCCACAGAGACATTATTGAAAATGGCATTAACTTCAACCTCACAAAAATCTTGAAGAACGAGTACTGGTCCTCAATTTCACCAAAGAACCAAATACCCAATAACTGAGTCAATGCATCTCTTACTGCCCACCTCATAAGAATAAACCCAGAAAGCCTTTTCAAACCCAAATTGGAACCAACCCACACTGACCGAAAGAACGACCTGTGCTTCCCTAACAAATCATTCACAACAGCAAAGAAAACAGTTCCAAGCACCCAAGCATGAATAACTAAAAACCCAAAAATCACATACCCATAAGCAACAGACAAACTCCCCACAAGAATTAACAATGCGATCGCATCCCGGCGACCCAACTCCAACCCCCGGATAAAGAACTGCAAATTAACTATTCTTTCACCATCGTTACCTTCTGCCTCTTCCCTCCCCACATCATGGGTTTCATTCAGTACTTCAGAGTATACAGACTGCTCAGGAGCTTTGAAAGAAACCCCTGAACGGACTATTTCAGAAAACCGAATTCCATTATCGGTAATGTCATTCGGAAACCCTAATTTGGGGTTGAGAATTAGAAAGGAGCCATTGAGATGGGTTTTGGGGTTGGACCCAAAGAGAGAGCGGTCATAGTCATCATCGCCGGAGAAGAAATCGTCATCGAGAGTGCCGACTCGGGAGAGGTGGAGGAAAGGACGGCGGCGGCGGTGGCGGAGGAGATGGTGATTGTGGTGGTCGCGTTGGGGAAAATGGGATCGACCGGAAATATCAAGGCGGGAGAGGAGGGATTTGAGAGAAGGGTCACGGTCGATAATGGAAGTGAGGTAGTGGGTACCGTTTTCGACGTTAGAACGGAAGGTGAAGATCAAAGAGGAGAGGAAGAGGAAGATGAGGAGGTGGGAAGTAAAGATTCTGGTGGTTTGTTTGAGGAGTTGGGTGGTGGATTGGTGGTTAATGGGTGGTGGTGGTGGATTGTGGTGGTTCATGGCGGTTTTTAGGGCTCAACAGAGTGATCTTGAATTGGCTATTGATGATCTTTACGGGAATTTCCGATCGGGGAGTGAGAGATTGTGAGAGAATGTGTCAAAATCGTACAGAGATTGAGCTGAAGATAGTCAAAATTGATAATGGGTAAGAACAGTGGTGGTGTCGCATTCTTGAATCATTTGAGACAACAGAGGCTCTTGTTTGTCCTGACCTGGGTTAGGACTCAGAGGAGTTTCTCTTCTTTACTCTCAACCCTTCCATGTCTTTTTTTTTTTTTTGATTTCTTAAATTCGTGATTCAAGGTTTCTAAGGTTTTTTTTTTTTTTTTTCATTAGTCAATTTTTTTAATCAAATATTAATAGCCTAATTATCTTTTATTCTTAGTGAACCTAGAATTGAGGAAGTAGTGATTCATTTAAATATTCATTTAATTTTTCTTGTACTGTTTGCACTGACTATTAAAAAATTTTGCAAATCTTATCCTTTTGATGAGAGTAATTTTAATTGTTAAACTAAATTTGTTTAATTGGATCATTCTTGAAATACATTGCATTCATGAAATTATTTATTCTTACTTTTATCACGTGTTTGTATTATGTGTCCTCATTAAATGATTTGATTGAAAATACTTTAAACCCTCTATATATGTTGATAGACAAGATCTATCTCTATATTTATTATCATTTTAAAAGGGTATTTGGATCACCAGGTTGAATTGGACAGGTTTTCTTTTTTATATCCTACCTCAGTCAATCCAAACCTACTCAACCATTTAAATTGGATGTGATAAGCCAATATGTGAATCGCTAGTCTGTGTCCACTACATCGACAAGGTTTGGACCTCTAGTCATTTGATTCTTCCTTCAGATCCCTATGATCGTGCCATTCGACTTCAGTTGAAATGATATAGTGGTCGAAAAAAGGAATTTTGATCTCTTGTGAATTTGTCGGCCTCATGGATCAATATACAGCCTCGAACATCGTTGGTGCTGGTGGGTAAGGAAGACGCTGGAGGGTAAGGAAGATGTTGTTGGCGACGACGATTGTTGACCGTCGTTGAGAGCAACACAAGTGGCGGAGAAGTGTAGAAGTGACCACCTAGGGTAAATCGTAAAAAAAAAAAGGTATTATAATAATTAAGTAATGTATCCCATTGGTTGAGTTTGTAACCCACGAAGAAGGTGGGTTAATCTTAACTACTGTAGAAAGGTTAAAATGTCTTGTAACAATTAGGTCAAGGTTAGACCCAAGATTTCTATCCCACTTCTATTTTGACTTCCCAAACAATGATATATGGGACTCATTACCTTGTTAAGTTGTCCTTATTAGTTTTATCCATAGTTTTAAAATCCAGCCCGGACACCAACCCGGAGAAGGGACCGGGTCAATGGATTTCTGGTTCAACCACTGGGTCACTGGTCGAACCGGTGATATAATAAAAAAATAAAAAATAATTATTAATGATGATAAATAGACTAAAAAATTAAAATAGTTATAAAAATAACATGTTTAATATATATTAAATCAAACAAAGTTATCAAGCCTGAATCACTTAATTGCATTCAATTAACAGCCCAACCTCCACCCTCAAACTTGAATTACTTAATTGTATTCACTTAATTTTTGTGCTAACAAACACTGAATGAATGATTTAGGATTTAGGGCAAAACAGAAGGGAAAAAGAAAAAGTCACAAAAATGTAAAAAAAAAACATATTTATACTAAAAGAATAAAATCGGCCGGTTTTGATCGGTTTTTTGACCGGTTCACCGGTTTTATTCCGGGTTCTTTGCTCAAACAGTCTAATTACAAAATCGGCCCGGTTATGAGACCGGTTCACCGGGTCACCGGGTCAATCGCCGGGCCGGGCCGGGCCGGATTTTAAAACACTGATTTTATCCCACTTTAACCCATTAGCCAAACACACCCTTTGANTAGTTATAAAAATAACATGTTTAATATATATTAAATCAAACAAAGTTATCAAGTCTAAATCACTTAATTGCATTCAATTAACAAACCAATGCATTCAATTAACAGTCANTTTAATATATATTAAATCAAACAAAGTTATCAAGTCTAAATCACTTAATTGCATTCAATTAACAAACCAATGCATTCAATTAACAGTCAAGCCTCCACCCTCAAACTTGAATCACTTAATTGCATTCACTTAATTTTTGAGTTAATAAACACTGAACGAATGATTTAGGATTTAGGAGAAAATAGAAGGGGAAAAGAAAAAGACACAAAAATGTAAAAAAAAAAAAACATATTTATACTAAAGGAACAAACTAGCCGGTTTTGTAAACCCAGTTCGATTTTCGCAGGTTATCGGTTTTTTGACCGGTTCAGCGATTTTATTCCGAGTTCTTTGCTCAAACGATCCAATTACAAAATCGGCCCAATTAGGGGACCGGATCACCGGGTCAACCGTCGGGCCGGGCCGGATTTTAAACACTACCCCAAACCCATGGGTTTGTAGCTTTTGGGGGAGATTTTATATGTCCTGCAATTTTGTGGATGTATGTAAATTATTGAATCACGTAAATATTATCTTATATGTGTAATTATTTTTATTTAACGTGTATTTTTTCTATTTTTATTTCTCACAAATTTAAAATTTTCGTATTAATTTCTTAAGAGCCAGCAATAGAATATACCGATAGATTCAAACAGACGTTGCGAATCACAAAAATAAGCGCCTATCTGCCAGTGTGGGGATAGATAGGACAGAACTCAGAAATTGGAGCATGTGAAAATCATGACAACGAGTTTAAGGTGATTCCCTTGGTGGGGGTATGCAACTATCCGAGAATTTAAATTTGGACCGATTCCTCCTCTGTCAGAGTCAGATTAAGAGTAAAGTGACGTCGGTGGTTTAATATTTTTGTTCTTAAATATTTTTTCTTTCAACCAGTCAACGATTGTGTTGAAATATATAATTTTTTCCGAGATAATAATTAAATTAATAAAATTTGTCATTAATATCATCTGTGTAATGTAATATTTTGAATTTGTATAAGATACAATGATAACATTTTGATTAAAAAAAATTCATAACTAATTTTAATTTTATTTATTTAATTAATTATCTCAATGACTTGCACTCCTATTGAAAAATGATTTATGGTTTGTTGACGATAACCATATTTTATGAATACAAAATTTTTATTTAGAAGGAACTCAAACAATTTGACCAAAGGGGACTAATGTTGTTGTCCAAATTAGTCAAATAGACTTTTTAACTAAAATTCAAATTATACTTAGAAAAAAATAGTCTGGNCTGTCAGAGTCAGATTAAGAGTAAAGTGACGTCGGTGGTTTAATATTTTTGTTCTTAGACATTTTTTCTTTCAACCAGTCAACGATTACGACTGGTGTTGAAATATATGATTTTCTCCGAGATAATAATTAAATTGATAAAATTTNTTTGACCAAAGGGGACTAATGTTGTTGTCCAAATTAGTCAAATAGACTTTTTAACTAAAATTCAAATTATACTTAGAAAAAAATAGTCTGGGTCATTTATTGGTGTAATATGGGAGGCATATGATATTTATTTAATTAATTATCTCGTTGTCTCTCTATCTCTCTCATTCTTCTCGTCTGTTAATCACTATCTTTGTTTCTCTCCCGTTAATCCTAAATCCCCAAATCTCCATTAAAAATTGGCTCAATTTTGGCCCAAATTCGAAACTCTGGTTCGACTCTGCCAATCGGAATCGGAGTTGGAGACACTGAAAGTCAGAACCGTAGTTGGAAGTCGGAATTCATGGTTCAAAATCTGTTGGAGTCAGTGCCCACCCCTAGTCATATGGTTCGCTTTTTGGATCCCACTTTTTTTTTTTTTTTTCACTCTAGCTAGTATAATCCATTTCTTGCAATGCACTTGATTTGCCCGATTCTCGTTAAAGAGCACAAACATTATCACAAAACATAATTTTTTTTTTGTTAAAAAAAAAAGTGAAAAGGGGACATGATAATCTTCATTTCTTCCAACCTCACAAAGTGGCTTCCACTTTCTGGTCGTCATTCACATTCTGTAGCTCATGAACATTAGACCCACTTAAAACCTCAGGGCTCTGAGGCCTGTACTTGTACCTCATAGCAACAATCAAATAAACAAAGAAATTCACCAAGCTCAGTACAGAAAGCATCCAATAGAAGAGATTCAAATGGTTCCTGTTAATATTATTCCCAGCCAACCACCCTCCACTTCTGGTTATTCCCTTGGTGGCACTGTTCACTGTCTTCACCACGACAGTGCTCATGTAATACCCAACTGCCATGGAGCTCCAAAGAAAGCAAGTAGAGATGGATTTTAGGTCTATTGGTGCTTGGGAGTAGAAGAATTCAAGAAGTCCAACATAGGTGAACATATCTGCTATCCCGAATATGAAGTACTGGAATGATAACCAGAAGACACTGATCGGCAATGGCTGGAACATAGGGATGGCATCGAGCATGTTGTGGGTACGAGCAATATTTTTCCGCTTCACCTGGTTGGGATATCACATGTGAGAATTACATATCGAATAAGAAAAAAATTTCGTGTCTTCATTTTCGATCTCGAGCAATTGATATAAAATGTTATCTAAACAAAATAATTTCCACATTACCTCCATTATTGCAGCGGATGCCATGGCCAGGGAAGAGAGAACGAGGCCAACGCCGACACGTTGCAGGTGAGTTATTCCGGTGATGTGGCCTGTAATCTTACGGGCGAAAGGAACGAATACTTGGTCGTAAATGGGGACTAAGATGACCAGAAAAGCGATGGGGATGATGGGGAGGGAGGCCGGTGGGATTTTAAAAGATTTGGTGATCCTTGTGTCCATGGTGGCACCTTGTTGGACAGAGAAGGTTTGAAGTTGGGCTAGGCAAACTGTCATAAAAAAGGTACAACAGAAAATTGGAACCATTCCTAGTATGACTTTTGCATTTTCTACTTGTGTGACTGTGCAAAGTTTCCATTGATTTGGTGTTTCAAATGGTG